TTTCACACCTGAAGCTGCAGGGCTGCATTCTGACTTGCGGCTTCGCCCGATTTCCCCTGCAGTTTCGTGATCCCGTTTTTTGAGGAAATTGGATCAAATGCAGCCCCGCGGTTTCGGGTGTGAAATTGACCAATAGTATCAGGGCAAACGGCGGCGCAACATCGAGGCAGCTCTAGTGCGAAATCAACCACCGTGTTTTCTTACAACCCTCTATGCGTCTTTCCGTGGAAGCCAATGAACAGTGCAGGGGGGGGGGGAGAGAAATGTTACGTTCTAAGGATCTTGGGTTGAGTTGCTTTCAAGACCCTTCAGTTCTTCATCAGCTTGTCAGAAAGAAGTACCTTTTTTTTGTAGGGGGGAAAAAGTTATTTCTTTTGTAATCGAGATACTTGTTTTGCATAGGGTAATTTGTATAATGAGTTCTTTGACTCTTGTATTTTCAGGAATGTACTTTTATAAATTAAGTGGGAATAGCGTTCGAACACATTCATTCTTTAAAGATTTCATTTTTAAAACGCAGCTGCTGATGACTAGTTTCACTTAAATGTAGCTTGTGTTGATTTTCAGGCCTTGCTTTCGATGCATTCCTTTTGTCAAGTAATAAATCGTGTATATTCAGCTCCAATAAAGAGGTTTCCTAATATTTATCTATATTTTGTGTCGCCTTCATTGATTGGTGGTTATAAGACTTCTCTGACAGATTGTATCAATTTTGTTTTATCAGTTTTCCCTGATTCACTCCCAAGAGATCTCTGATACCACAATGAACATACAGAAAAGTTCTGAATAGAGGCAACTTATTTTCCTGTCTTCCCTGGAGCAGAATACAAAGTTCTACGTGGTATTTGTGAACACTGCTTTGTTGGGTAATAGCTGCAAAGTGTGTAGCATTCTCCCATACATGAAAACAAGAGCCCTGCTGGATCAAACCAGTGGTCTAATTAGTCCAGCATTCCATTCAACATGGTGGCCAACCAGTTTCCCCAAAGGGCTAACAGAGACCAAGGCTGTCAAGTGGTGTTGCCTCCTAGCCCTTGGGCTCAGAGGTTAACAGTGCCTCTGAATGTGGAGACTCCCTTTTGTCACCATGACTAGAAGCCATTGACAAACTCATCCTTCATGCACCTACTGCCTTTTAAAGCCATCTTTGCTGATGGCCATCGCTATGCCCACTGGCAGTGGATTCCACAGTTGAATCACTCACTGAGCGTCTGTCTTGAATCTATTGCCCATCAATGTCATTGGGTGCCCTCAAGTATTAACAGGAGAGGAAGAAAATATTCACTTTTCTCCACAGCCCCATGCATAATTTTAGTAAAAGTAAAGGTAAAGGTTTCTCTTGCTCAAAAGCCAGTCGAATCCGACTCTAGGGATTCGGTTGCTCATCTCTGTTTCCAAGCCGAAGAGCCAGCGCTGTCCGAAGATGTTTCCGTGGTCATGTGGCCGGCATAACTAAACACCAAGGCGCATGGAATGCTGTTCCCTTCCCACCGAAGTGGTACCTGTTTATCTACTTGCAATTTCTTGCTTTCAACTGCTAGGTTGGCAGGAGCTGGGACCAGAGACAGGAGCTCACTCCGTCATGCGGCACACTCGGGTTTTAGGCATCTCTTAGCCTGAGCTGCCTTTTTTTCTAAACCAAAAATTTCCAGACACTTTCGACATAGGAAAGGTGCTCCAACCACCTAATCCTCTTGGTTGCCCTCTTCCCTTTTCTCATCTTTGCAATATCCCTTCTTTTGAGATATGACAACAAGAACTGCACACAGTATTTCAAATGTGTCCAGAATATGGTTGGTGTCCAGAATATGGCCCATGGACCAATTGTGGCCCATCTAAGATTTTTAGCAACATTTTTAATCTGTTCCAAATTTAACACCAGTGCAATTACATCACAGAAATGGGCATTCTCGTTGTTGTTTTTGTTGTTGTTATTTATTAGATTTCTGAATCGCCCATCGCTGCTACCACAAGGCTCTGGGCAATGCACAACAATGAATAGGAACATCCCTATAAAAATGAAACACATTAATACTCCGGATGGTGAACTAAATTCCCCCCCCCCATTCCGAACTGCCCAGCCACCTTGTGGGCAGAGGAGGGGGAGGGGACAAGTAAGGAGAATTGTAATTGAAATTTTAATTGCCCTTAAATAATGTGATGCAATCTGTGTTGGATTGATTTTTTTTACTTTAGTAACTAGACAGACTTCTTTTCAGGTCCTGACGTGTACTTAAAGGCTTGAACTTTCAAATAATGAATTGATTGAGGTTTAGGTTCAAATCTTGCAGAAAACATCAACAATTAACCTCAATTAACTCATTATTGGGTAGTAGCTCCCGTTGGAGGGAAATGGCTGAAGGCCACCATCCGTGATACAAACCAGGAGTCAGAACCGATATGTGTCCTGACAATCCACAACACAGTTCTCAAGAACAGTCTTTTAAATAGCAGTATTCTCATTGACTTGATCAGTGACTAGCAATAAGTCTGTAACTGCTCTTTTGTACAAATAAAGTTTATTAAACTGGGGGGTTTTTTAACTGCTTTTGTATTACTACTAAAAATAGGCTTGCCAAGTCCCCCCAGAGGCCCGTTCCCCGACGCCGCCGGATCGGGCCCTGGAGGGAGCTCCACCTCGACATGCACATCACCAGGAAGTCTATGGTTTTCCCTCAGATGGTCATGCCCCCGCCCCCAGCGTGCCCTGCGTGATCGCGTCACTTCCGTGAGACGTGGATGCAGCGCGTGCACGCACTCCGGGACCAACCCGGGACTCCCCCGCTCCGGATCGAGGTAATACTTTAGGGCTGCCAAATGCCCCCGGGGGGCGGAATTCCCCCTGGTTTTGAGCCCCGATTCCCGCTCCTGCGGAATCGGGGCCCGGGGGAAACCCCACCCCCGCGCGTGCGTCACCCGGAAGTGACATCACACACTGGGGGCGGGGCCACGCCATTTGAGGGGAAAATTGCATGTGGCCAACTAAAACATGGATTTCTGCTCAGGTGGCCCACTGCTGGATAGAAAGTGAATGCCCCACCATAGATCTATATGGGGGCATTACAACGCTGGTGGTTTTATTTTCAGTCCCATTCACTACTGCCACACACCAAACTGGCATTTTAATCAAGCTGTTCTCTGCAACGCCGACTTTTCCCTCTCTGCCTGTTCAGATCCCATCGGCATTGTCATGATCTGGGCTGTGCCAGTTTGGTGTAGTGTTTAAGTGCGCGGACTCTAATCTGGGAGAACCGGGTTTGATTCCCCACTCCTCCACTTGCACCTGCAGCAGCTCTGATAAGAGCTGTTCTTGAAAAAAGAGCAGTTTCTGTCAAGAGCTCTCTCAGCTCCACCGACCTCCCAGGGTGTCTGTTGTGGGGAGGGGAAGGAAAGGAGTTTGTAAGACGCTCTGAGACACCTTTTGGTAGTGAAGGGCGGGGTATGAATCAAATCTCCTTCTCCTTCTTCTTCTTCTTCTGTGCAAGCAAAGGTGTACCAGGCCCGGGAGCCTGACTAGCAGTGGGAGGAGGCCAGGCCTACAACTCCCAGAAGCCCCTGAGAGGTTTTGGCGCCAATTTTAGCCAATCACAGAGAAAGGGGACTTACAATAAAAGAGCCGGTACAGAAGAAAAGTTGTTCTTTCTTCCAAGAGAGCAGAGCCAGAGGGAAGGCTGCTGCAGGGAAGAGACCCTCATCCTGAGAGGAAGGGTGAGCAGACTGAGGCCCACTTGAGACAGTGAGCTAGGGACAGTAAGTTTAGATGTGTCAGGGCATTTGGTTTCTTTTCACCCCCTTATTGCTATTGTTCTTGCACCTTGTTTGTTTCCCATATTTGGCTCCTGTAAAAATAAACTTTTTCCTTGTTGTTTACTCTGCCTGGTCCTCATGTTATTCGGCCAAACGAGGGAGGCCTGAAGGTCTTGGGAGGGTGCTCTGGGCCTTCTCAAGGGATCCTGAATCCAGAGTGGTGGCAGCGTCAGGTGACACCCTACCTGAGCTTTGACAGGCATATATTTCAGTTCAGGGGTTTTTGTTCCATGGTGCATCACCTTGCATTTCTGTACACTGGCCTTCATTTGTCACATTGTTCCTGCCAGCTCGTCCAATCCAGAGCGATCCTCTTGTAGCTTTTCACAATCCACCCTGGTTTTCACCATCCTGAATAATTCAGCAGCATCCTCAAATTTGGCCACTACACTAATGATCCCCAATTCCAGATAATTTATGAGTAAATTAAATAGCACTGGACCCAATACCAATCCTTGTAGTTGTTCTTAAATTATTATGGCTTGATCCTTTCCAACCACATGTTTATTACATTGCAAAGTTTTACAAAACAGATGTACTGGGTTTACTTCATTTTTTAAAAGTTATGGAAGCACATCGACTTCCACTGAACTCAATTGCAATGCTCCCATTGATTTTTAACAGGTTTTTTTATCCTTTCGATAATTGCCATTAATTGCACCTGTGAAAGCAAAACAACTTCGAAGTGAAAATCATCTGCCCCTTCCCAGTTTGTCAACAGCTGGGTTAAGCTACAGGAGCCCGCATATGGTTTGTATAATTTTTCTCTCTGGAAGGAAGTTTTCCCCCATGCCTGAACTTATCTACATTGTACAAAGGGCACTATGTAATTTGACCCAGATGTGGGTGGAAAGGAAGCGCTTCCAAACATTTCTCTGCAATGAACAAAAAGCCAGGAATCTTCTTGTAAAGATTCTTTTCAAATGTAAACTGTGTGACAGGGCTACATGATTGAGGAGAGCTCAAACCAGTTAAGAGGCTTAGAAGTGTTAGGAAGCAAAAACCTGCAAATACCTGCAGAACGAAAGAAGGGATCTGAAGTTTTAAAACAGAAATAAAGTGCGAACTCCTCCTTGCGCTCTAAGGGGAAGTCTGTTATCGCTGTCTGCCAGCCTGTCCTGAAGACAGTGGAAAGATTGGGAGGAAAAGAAAATGTATGCATTTCGGGTATCTAGAAAAACAGTACACCAACTTAGTTGGAAGCCTTTTTATTTTTGTACCTTTTTGTTCCTCCAGCTTTCTTGTTCTTGAGATGGTTTTCAAAAGATAGGATGCAAAATAAACAGGGCTGTTCAAGATCTCTGTAGCAAAATATGCATTTCTCACCCCTGCGACGCTAAACTTTTAAGCCAAAAAACCCCAAACCCCTGGATATGAACTTTTGAAGAAAATGCTGCTGCTTTGACTACCCTGCTTACAGAATGGAAGGCTATGGCAGAGCAGAAAGGTGTATATTAATATTTTTCCCCAAGGACCCCAGAAATATTCCCCATTATTTAGTAGCCAGTGTGGCAAGTGTGAAACTGCTGACTGGTCTTCACCTCGGCCTGGCTGTTGTGTGCTCAGTCTCTGAGCTTAAGAAGCTCCTCGTAGGCCTTCAGCCACAATTCTTTTGTGCAGTATCCAATGACGCAGCAAGCCAAGCGTTTGCCAGCATTTCCATGTTCTAAACTGCCTGTGTTTTTTCCTTTCCCCATATCGTCTGCATTCTCGTGGATCACGACAGATCTTCCTAGAACAGCTTGGGGGCCAAAAAGAGACGGTTGGAGGTTGACCATCAATGTTCTGATCTTGCCATCTTTAGGATAGAAGTTTCCAAAGTCCCCCGGATGGTTGGGGTGACGGACTTTGAAAGGATTGTAGTGGCCGCTGACAGAATCACAGCCGTTGCTGAGGTCTCCCAGTTCATGGATGTGGATAGCTCTACCAGTTTGGTTGGCGTCCTCGGGAAACCCATCCAGGTAGAATATGGCCTTCAGTTTTCCATGTGGGTGAATTTGCTTGAACAGAACTCTCCCTGTCACCTGTGGTTTGCCAGCTTCTAGGTTGGTACTGGGCTTCAATTCACAAGCGGCATAGGTCCAGTTGCCTTCGTACAAGTGCCCGTAGATATTTGGGTAGAGGATAGCCAGCCACAGTAAATTCAGCTTTCCCTGAGTCTCCTCAATGGCAAGCTTGGAGCTTTCTTCTTGTTTTGTTTCATCAGATACACAAAGGATCAAGCCCGTGACTAGAAACCGCAGCAGGGACATGCTAGGGTTCTTCAGAAGACTTTCAAGAGACGGTGAGAGAAGAAGGTGTTGTCTCTGGAAGGAGGGGGGGGGGAGCAAAAGTACAATGCTCAGATTCATCAATATTAATCAATAGCATTTATGTGGTGCAAGGACCCTGCAAGATTATCGTCTTTGTTGTAAGGCAGAGTGGCTAAAGGCTGAGATAACAGTAGCTTGGAGGAACTTTTCTGCTTCTCTCCTCATACCACGCTAATCGGCTCGCTACAAAACACAAGCTCCATTTGCTTCCAAAATCCCCCCACAACAGTGACGAAACCTTTGGATTGAACAGAACACTCAACGTTTTGTGGTAAGTGTAACACAAACATAGCTGGGACGATATCACAAAATTGGGGCTGCCCTTCTCCCTCATCCTTTCCCTCAGAAACTGCGTCATCTGAAAATCCACACGCACACCCCTCCGAGGTTTAAGGGGGAAAGACTCTTCTGAATTCCACTATGAAACTCAGGGTCAAAGACAAACATTCTGAAGTGAAGCAGAAATCATCTGAGCTGCATTCAGAGGCATTTGTATTCAGAACAAAGACTGCGTTCAGACTGCATCCACCACCCTAGGAGTGTCTGTCTTTCCCCTCAGTAGGTTCCAATACTAATTGCTCTTTTCCTACCTTTAATGCAGGATTTGTCTTCCAGAAGCAGTTTGCAGTTGGTTGCAATTCTTCATGCAAACAGTGGCCGGTAACCAAATCCAGATTCCAGACTTTCGCTGGAGTTATGAATACTGTTTCTTGGTAGCAAAGTTAGACAACACTAGCTCATGGGAGTGGTTAGCAGGAGGGGGGGGAATGGAGAGAGGAGGGGGAAGGGTTACCTAGCTGTTTACCCCAAAACAGAACCCAAACTTTTGCTAACTGTCCAACCAAAACAAAACAGAAAATATTTCCCCTTTCAGTATTTTCTGTGCTAAAGCAAACGACCTTGAACAGGAAATGACAGGCAAAAGCACAAGCCAAAAGCATGCACGCAAACGCATGCACACACATGCGCACACACCCTTGCTACATAACTTGCTGTGTTCTGTCTTTTTTTTCCAAAAAAATTTGTTCATAGTTCCAGATTTAGTCAGCTAAAAGGCTGGGTTTGTTTGTTTTGTAAACTCTCTGGAAGCCGATTGCAAGGCCTGTCCAGGAAAAAGAAACACTTTACTGTCCCAAAGTGCTGCCGTCATTTATTTTTTTAAAATCTGGCTGTGATCGGAAAAAAAGAAAAGTTTCATGTTATTTTTGTGCTTTGGAAGGTTTGTCAGAATCATTTGGGAGATTTCTTTTGGTGCTCAAAAGGTAGCCAGATCAGAGCCTCAAATAGGCTTGCCAAGTCCCCCCGGGGGCGGGGAAACCCCCGGCGGATCGGGCGCCGGGGGGAACTTCACCCCCACGTGCACATCACCCAGAAGTGACGCGGGTACGCCAGGCACGCTGGGGGCGGGGCCACGGTCATCCGAGGGAAAACTCTATGGTTTTCCCTCGGATGGACCTGACCCCGCCCACAGCGTGCCCGGCGTACCTGCATCACTTCCGGACGACGGCCGGAAGTCCCCCGCTCCAGTAAGTTTCTGACTTGGCAACCCTAGCCACAAATAGGACTCCCACCCCCACCCAGCATAACAAAGTGCAGTGGATTTTTAATGCTGTAGGTTTCTCTTCTGGTCAGCCTTCATGTCCCAGTTCATTACCATATTTTGCCTCATTTCCATATAGCTTTGCTAGCAATCCCTTGCTGTCCCAGTTTTTCTATGCTTCCCCCCCCCCCTTTTCTAGGGTTGCCAGGTCCCTCTGGCCACTGGTCAGGGACAGGGTGTTAAGTTTGCTAGTTCCAGGTTTGGAAACTTCTGGAGATTTGGAGATGGAGGCTGGGGAGGACAAGGAGCTCAGTGGGTGTTACGTTCTGAGTTTATTCTATGCTGTTTAGTTATGGGTTGTGCTAAGGTATCCTAATTTCCTTTGTCGTGATTGGCTGTCTAATAAAGACCTTCTAGTGGTCCTGAAGCCACACACAGTACCCTATCAGGAAGCTCCGCTTAGGTCCAATCAGGGTCATTTCCTGCAGGAGTGCACAGGAGCGGAGCTCCGGCAGTAAAGAGCCCAGGGGGCGGGCACATGCAACAAGCCCCACCCCCTGCTCCCAGCAGCCCTCAGTCAGAGCAAGAAGCGGCCAGGAAAGTTGCAGAGCTCCCCCCCCCCGGCCCAAAACAGTCCAGTGGCACCTTGAAGACCAAGTTTTATTCAGGTACAAGCTCTCCCTCCTCTGCGAGGACAGATCTGCACGTCTCTCCCCCCCCCCCAATAGCTAGCAAACCAAAACAGTCCAGTGGAGTCTGAGCTGTGGGTGTTGCCTTCTGACACACTTCCGGTGATGTCAGGGGGTGTGGCCTATGCAAATGAGTTATGCTAATGCACCTCTTTTTCTAGGAAATGACCCCTGGGTCCAATCAGACCTCATGAAAGTAGCAACATGGTATATAGTTCATTATTGGAATGGTATAAGTCTGGGTGCCGCTCTTATCAGAGCAGATCAGAGCTGAGTAATGTTATGAATAAAGCCTTGAACTGAGAATCGTCTCCTGACTTTCAGTACACTAAAGTGGGGTATAGTGCTATATAGTCCACCTTCCACAGGAGCCATTATCTTATGGGGAACTGATCTCTGTAGTCTGAACTTTAATTCCAGGGGATCCCTAGCTCTTTCTGAAACCTGTTTTCCCCCGACCTTTTCCCCGTGAAATAGTTTGATTTCATTTGTCTTTTTTTGTCAGTCTGTATTGCCTGTGCTGTTTTATCTTGTTTCACGCTGCTCCACCCAATCTCGCCATCTTGTTTTGGGGTAGGGTGGGCAGTGAATGCTTTATTTTAAAAGTTGCATGCTAGCATTACAGCATGCACTGAACAGACTGTCACAGCCAATCAGAACGCCGGAAACAATACTTTAAAACACTATGGCCATTTTAAAAGGCATTCTGTCAAACGGAGATTCTCTCTGAAACACTGAAGAGTCACTGTTCGAATTGGGCATAACCCCACTCCCTGACATTGTGTGGCTGGCTCTGCCACCTGTGGCAGGCATTTTGTGGTTACACTAACCACACTGTGTTAGAACTCTAAAGGTGCCCACGGGCTCAAAAAGGTTAGGGACCACTGCTCTAGAACAATAAAAATAAGAGAATACGGTAGTGGTCAGTGTTCCCTCTAAGCTGCACTAGTGTGAGCTAGCTCAGAGTTTTTTAACCTCGGGCTCACACATTTTTGTCTTCGCTCAGGAAGGGATGGTTCCCGAGCAAACCAATTTGTGCAGCAGCTAAATCGCTTGCTCACATCTTTAATGCCAGTCGCTCAGAAAGTAGAATTCTTGCTCACAAGACTCCACAGCTTAGAGGGAACATTGGTAGTGGTACTAGCCAGAAGCAATAAAGCCATAGCTCAGTTCATCTTCATCATTAAAGTTATATTTACTGATTTTTTTTAAAAAAATTCAACTATCAAGAGAAAAAAATAGCTAGGTTATTAAAGAAGAAACATTTATTTTATCCCCTCCTCCCAAGCTGGTTCAGATTAAGCAAGGAGAAGTTTCTTTGTAATATAAGGACTGGTGACATATTTCTATGTTATAATATTTTTTAAATGTAGGATTGCTGTTTTAATTAAAAGACTGTCATTACGGATCTAGAATAAAGAAGGCAGATATAGTTTAGTTTAGTTTGCATGTTTGTCTGTGTGTATAAATTTTTATGTAATGCTAAGCGGTAACTTATTGAACAGTATTATAGATTTGCTGATATATACGCTCACCAAATACTAAATACGGCTCTTCAAACTTTGTAGGGCATAAATATTTTCAGTTTCCTTATAAACTGCTGAGCTTTTAACAAATGTAGAAGAAAAATGTTTTTCCTCCAAAAAGTAATGATGGAGATCTAGGTAGTACTCCAAAAAGCATTATGTGCATTCCTATATCTTGTGAGAAACTTTATATCCAGATGAAAAAAAATCTTATCTAAAATAAGTATTCCGAAGTTAATTCAAGATCTTTTGTTTTAACTCTCCTAAAAAAGTGTCCTGAAGGAAGTAAATTGAAGTCAATAACAAAGCACCAGGCTCTTACAGATTTCAGGCAGAGTATCAGAAAGTTACCTCTACTTCCAAATGGTTTAGGTTAGTACTCGGCAAAATCAAGTCACTCGGTATTGACTTAGACTCACTGACAAACTCCAACGAATCATACATATTTCAAATGATTAAAAGGAGAATATTAGATATCAATTCTCAATTAATAGTTGCTGGAGCAAAGGGCACCTGTTCACCTTGATTTCTGGGCCTTACCCTTCCCCAAAACTGTATGCTTCAGTGTTTTTCAAATCTAATAAATCCTTGCCTACACCGAGACTTTATGTTGGCTAGGTTCAGTATCTTCCCCTCATTCGTGCTTTCTGGCATGTACAAGGGCATCCCTTACAAACAGAGATCGCGCAGGTGCGGCAAAGAACCTGATTCTATACAACATATTGTATCAGACTGCCCATTGCTCACTCCCCACCGATGCCACCCGATTAAACCACTTCTCCCACCCCCCAATCTTATCTCTCCTTATATATAATTGAGTAAGAACGTTCTATATGAACGTTCTAAATTTGGCCTCCTTAGTGTTAGGCCGGTGGGACTGCCAGTTATCATATCTTCCGACCAATAAGAAGTCGAAGCCCCGTCCAACCAATAAGAACTCGAAGCCCGGTCCCGCCCACACCACTACTGCTGCCAGAGTCAGCCTCCACCATTTTCTGTTCACCAAGGACAAGGAGGACTTCCAGCGCCATTTGCATCTAGAGGTGTGCACCACGTCTCCCCCACGCCAGGGCTGGCGAGCCTCCCACCCACCCCCCCAACGGGCCAAAGAGACGGAGGCTCCCCCCCACTCAGCCTCCGATCGCCGGCTCCCAACCACCCACCAGAGGCCGCGATCGGAGCCGTATACAGCTCCGATCGCCGGCTCCCCCCCCCGCCCCTACCAGAGGCCGCGATCGGAGCCGCAGGCTCCGACCGCCAGCTTCCCCCTCCTCCCACCGC